AGTGACCCTTCAAAATTGGCCTGAAAGATGTGGATGTGTCAAATTTCCATGTGTAAATTCAGCATACAGAATTTCAGGAAGTAGGCATTTGATCTTTGGGAATGAGGCATAGTTCTTGGGTTTTTTTTTGTTGTGTGGTTATTGTTTTGTTTTGTTTTGTTTTGTTTTGTTTTGTTTTCAGATCCAGGCTGAACACTCAGAATCTGAAATAAAATTACACCACACATGTTATCCAGGAAATTACCTAGTAAAAATAATAGAACATATTACACCTATATTTTACATTTTCAGTGAACTTTGAAAATGGTCTATTGGCTGTACAGGCAATGCAGGTAGCTAAATAAATACTTTCACAGTAAGAAAATAATCCTGTGGTATACTTGGAGGTTCATTTGAATCATCATACCTAGAACTTAAATTACTGTACTAGATGCAGAAACTATTGAATAATACTCTTTGTCTCATATTACTAAAGGAATCCTGTTTGATAATCAGAAAAGTTTTTTCTGGTCTAGAAATCTCTGAATCTTTTAGTTTTGTTCTGGGTATTACAGGTGAAATAAACTCCAGCTCAGAAGCATACTTTAGTCATCCATTTAAAATCAGAAGACTGATAAACTGAAAAGGCCCTTCATTTTATATGTATATTTTCCCGTGATTAGAGAGTTTTTCCAGTAAATTAAATCTTTTGGTACTTGTTTTTTGTATAAACGGTAATATAGAAGATTTTATAATATAGCTGGTAATATAGAAGATTTCCTATTCTAGTCAGATCCCATAAGAAAATTCCAATATAAAACCTCTTGCCAAGAAAAAGTTGAGTGACACGATGGTGATGAAACAGCGAGTACTTCCTGAACAGTTTTCAATTAATTTTAGCAGGCAGGATCCTATGAAGTGTGCAAAATTAGAATAGACTTTACTGTAATACATAAGAAACTTACTCTATCTCATCTATTGATTATATCATTTAAATGTAAAAGTTTTGTAGTTATATCATATTAAAAGAAATTATTCTTCCCCACATGTATAAAATACATTCCCAAATATTGCTAAGGATAGAGAGAAGTATTTGTATATTGTACATATACAAATTGTACATTTGTATATGTAGCTGAGACAGCTTTGGGAAAATGGGAATTTTTGTTAGTGCTTCTATTAGAGAATTTTGCTTGCTAGTGATGCATAAACAAATAGCAAAAATTTCTATTCTTGGTGAGTTGGTGGGCCTGGAAGAGGTAACAACTTTGTTACACTTTGTCAATAGTTAAACTCTTGAGTTAGACACAACAGTCTTATTGCAACAAGGTTATTGCTGTGAGGATTACTGTGCCATCAGTTTACAGATGCATGTATGATTGCAAGCCCACTTCTTCATGTCATTAGTACCAGCACCAGAATGAAGTGCTTTGCCGACTTTTCCTCTGGGAATTATTCAGTTGATTCATCATCCCTTGGCTAAGCTAAAGGTGTTATAAATAATCATACATTTAGGGGCAAACTTATTTCATGTGAGTTTTCTGCTTACAGTTTATTTTCAGCAGCAGCTTTTTGTAGTCTATTCGAAGAACAAGGCTGAAATTTCTGCATTAGCTTCAGTCTTTCAAAATGAATATAGTTTACTAGAGGGTCAAGCAGTCAATGCTATTAATTGTTGTAGAGTGCCAAACAGATTCATTCAAAGACTGTGCCTCTTACCTCTTTCACAGTCAAACTTTAGAAATAAGTATTCAGGAATGGGAATTCCACTTCTCCCTTGTTTCAGTTCAGCTTGTATTAGTGGTGTTGCCAGTAGACCACACAAAGTATCCCTGGTATAACCTACTGGGAAAGTGTGTTCACTGGTGCATTGTACAGTGTAATTTGTCCCTACTAAGTGGAGTTGTTCTGGCTGATTGACTCTTTGTGTTAATAGTGTTATGGGGAGTAAACACTGCAGACATAGTGGGTTTCACTTGCAGACACTGAACTGACTGATGCTTCTATGCTCAGTCCCCAAGACCAGGATACTCTGAGTACCTGGAAACAAGGTTACTCAAACCTACCAGCTGCAGCCCTGACATTGTCCCAGTCCTTTTATGTGTTTTGTTCAAAACTTTTCAGAGTTCTTTTTTTTACACTATTCTGGAATACCCATCTCTTGGCAGTCAGGTGAAGTTGCTGGTGACAGGGAATGTAGAATGGAGGATACAGGAAACTACCAACCTGTCAGCCTCACCTCTGTGCCTGGGAGGATCATGGAACAGATCCTCCTAGAAGCTATGCTAAGGCACATGGAGGACAGGGAGGTGATTTGATACAGCCAACATGGCTTCACCAAGGGCAAGTCCTGCCTGACTGACCTAGTGGCCTTCTGTGATGGAATGACCTCATCAGTGGACAATGGAAAAGCTATGGATGTTGTCTGTCTCGAGTTCTGTAAGGCCTTTGACACAGTCCCCCACACATCCTTCTTTCTAAATTGGAGAGATTGGATTTGATGAATGAACTGTTCAGTGGATGAGGAATTGGTTGGATGGTTGCATCCAGAGGGTAGTGGTCAATAGCTCAATGTCCAGATGGAGATCAGTAACAAGTGATGTCCTTCAGGGCTTCATATTGGGACCAGTACTGCTTAATATCTTCATCAATGACATAAGCATTAAGATTTAGTGCACCCTCAACAAGTTTGAAGATGACACCAAGCGGAGTGGTGTGATTGACATCCCTGAGGGATAGGATGCCATCCAGAGGGATGTGGACAAGCTGGAGAAGTAGGCCTGTATGAACCTCATGAGATTCAGCAACACCAAGTGTAAGGTCCTGTACCCGAGTTCAGTCAAGCCTTGGTATCAATACAGGTTGGAGGATGAAGGGATTGAGAGCAGCCCCGCAGAGAAGGACTTGGGGTTACTGGTGGATGAAAAGTTGGACATGAGCTGGCAATGTATGCTTGCAGCCCAGAAGGTCAACCATATCCTGGACTGCATCAAGAGAGGCATGGCCAGCAGATTGAGGGAGTTTATTCTGCCCCTTTGAACCTAACCTGCAGTACTGTGTTCACCTCTGGAGCCCTCAGCACAGGAAAGACTTGGACCTCTTGGAGCAGTTCCAGAGGAGGTTCCGAAAAATTATCAGAGGGATTTAACACCCATGAAGAAAGGCTGAGAGAGTTGTGGCTGTTCAGCCTGTGGAAGAGGCGGCTCTGGGGAGACCTTGGACTTATAAAAAAGATGTGGACAAACCTTTTAGCAGGGCCTATTGCAAAAGGACAAGGGGTAATGCTTTTAAACTAAAAGAGGGTAGATTTAGACTAGATACAAGGAAAACATTTTTTACAATGGAGGTGGTGAAACACTGGAACAGGTTGCCAAGGGAGGTGGCAGATGCCCCATCCCTGGAAACATTCAAGGTCAGGCTGGATGGGGCTCTAAACAACCTGGTATAGTTGAAGATGTCCCTGCTCATTGCAGGGGGGGTTGGAATAGATGACCATTAAAGATCACTTCCAAACTATTCTATGATTCTATGAAAATCATATAAAATTACCTGTATAGGAATCTAATAACAGATCTGTTTGGGGCTTGAAAAATGTAGAATACTGGAAAGAATTCATTTGCCATCATGATAAGAAATACTATGATTTTAATTTCATACTTGTTCTTCATAGTTGAACCACACAAAGTATGTAATACACTGAGGCTTCTGAATATCAAAATTTGATCCTTTCTGTGTAATAATTAATTTACTTATAAAACGCAGCCCCACAAGTAATGTCCTAGACAAGATACAGCAATTACAAGGTGATTGTAACCTTTTACAACTACAAGCCAGTTCTATTTATAGTTCAGGCAAACTCTCTGCTTTTTTTTTTTTTTTTTTTTTTTTTTTTTTTTTTTTTTCTTTAATCTCGGGAGTTCTTTAAAATAGTAGGCTGTAGTAAATGCAAAACCTAATCCATAATGATTTTCACAAAAATGGTTTATAGCACTGGAATTGGGTAAAAATAAATGTCAATAAAAAAGATGTATGAGAACAAGCTGCCCTGGATCTAACTCACACTACCATGTTACACAACTTTTATGTAACTCCTGGCTATACTATCTAATAAAAGTTATCCTTAAAGCCTTATTTTAATTTTATAAGCTGTGCATGTATATAATACACAATGTACTTTTATTCATATGCCAAAGATCTACAGCCAAATTATTACTATCAGCATAAATCTCTTTTAATAATTTAAACCTTTAATCTTCTACTGTGTTTTCTCTTTCACATGCTTTGTGTGTGTGTGTGTGTGTGTCTCACTGGCTTTGTAGTTGTCTGGCAATTGCTATTCAAGCAACCTGATTTCAACACAAAAGTTCTATTTCTGTGTAAAAATATTTACTTCTTTAATAGCCAAAGTGCAATCTATTCCTATAGTTATAGTCTGAGGGAAAGAATTATAGTAGATTTGTAATTTTTGAGAGAGAATGTATTGTTTCTCTGTTCTCCTACTTGAGTTTTTTGAAATTAGGGTGGAGATAGGGAGCATTGTTACAATAAAAGATTTTACATCATTAAGATATACCAATTTAATCAGGTATATATATACAGTCTACTTTACCCAGGTTATAAGATTTATTGCCCATAATCTCTTATTTTTCATGAAGTAACGTGGGAGCTTGGAGGACCAAGGAATTTCAGATATGTATGTGTCTTTACCTGGAAGAGAAGCATATGTGCACTAGAAATACCAATAGAACCTCAGTGAGGTTTTTTCCCCTTAGCCTGTATGTCTCTTCCCATGGCTTCCTACATAAACTACATAAAAGGCTTTCTGATAGGATATTTCAGCTATTAAGGAAATAGGATATTGGAACCATTAGATATGGAAGAACATTTCAAAGGTATTTGACATTTTGTGTGCTACCTCTGTTGATATAATTGATCACTGTCATTATAAGTGAAATGTTATAATTGCAATTATTCTTTACTAGAACTCTTTTTTTTTTTTTTTTTTTTTTTTTTAACTGCAGGTTTAAGATTTTTAAGAGCCCTTAGACTGATACAGTTTTCAGAAATTTTGCAGTTTCTGAATATCCTTAAAACAAGGTAAGACCTTTTCTTACATACTGAGTTAGTTGCATGGGTGATGGAACATAAATGTCTTAGGTTTGTAGTCCTAGTAATATATCATTTTCTCTTCTGGAAAACACCTCTTGTTACTTGTTCTTCAAACCTTTTTCTGCTGATGAATGATTTATCAGTGTCAGCATCTTTTGCTTTGTGATCAGTAGGTTTTAGTTGATGTGTTGTGACATTTGAAATATCTGAGTAGGACTGTGTGCTGATAAATTAAAAGCAGAAGAAATTACAGAGCCCTGAGCTGATTAAACATTGCTTCTTGCCACATATTCAGTCCATATTCTGCTGCCCTGGGAAAACAGAAATCAAAATTCATTCAACAGAATACAGTTTAAAAGCATTTTGAGAAACAATAATTGCAGCTATATTTCAGGTTTTTTGAACTGAAAATCCATCTTCACATCAAAAACATATTAAAAATTGATTTTACACTGAGCTATCTTTATATTGTGTCCGCTATCATTAGCATTTATTTCAAAGAATAATTCAAATACTCCCAAGAAACATTCTGGCTTGCATTGATTCTTTGGGCTATTACTACATGAAAGTTGTGCAGAAGCAGCACAACTTTGAACAAAAGATCACTTTGAAGGAAATAAAAAGGAACCTTCCCGTGCCTCGCAGTTGAAGATGCATTGTCTTTCATCATTCCCTAAAACGTCCCTGAAGTATTGAACCCAAGTTCCAATAATTACTGTAAACTCAGTTTCATTCTGAGATCCTATGCTTCTTCCACCAGTTGATAATGCATGTGTGAGGGCTTTATATGCAAGTAACTCCATTTACTTGTTATCTTAGTTAGTAGTGATGTGGCAATAGATCCTTGAGATTTGTACACACTCAGGGTAGACAGCTGTTTCTTCAACCCTTAACCTTGAAACAATTCTCTACTGTAAAACTGCCATGCTATCTATCTTTAGCTCTGTGTGTGTAAGGAATCCTGTTCTTGTCAAATAAAGACATCAAAGAATGTGCAGTGAAGATGTAGTCCAATAGTTTAGAATACTACCAGAATGGTAATGGAGAGTAATTAGTGCAGGAACAGAGAATATACGAGGAGTTTGCATTTACCACTCAGAACGACCTCACCAAAAGAAATGGCAGTCAGTGGAGAAGTTCCATAAATTCAAATGATTTTGGATAAGGGGGAAAGGTTCCTTCAGGAGCAGTGGATTTGTAAACCTCCAGAACCATAAATGAAGGGATGCTACATTAATCACATTCAGTGTATTCAGAATTGGCTTTTTCAAGATTGACCTGTTCATTTAAATAGCATTTCTCTGGTGCAAAATTTACTCTTAGATCAGATATCCTAATCTCTGTGATTATTTATATAGATATTCAAATATCTGTAAACCTCAAATGTTGATTATTAGAAAGGCTGTAAAGCAGAGCTTCCTTATGTGACTATTTCATTTTACTCAGTTGATTAATCCCCAGCAATTCATCACTAACACCATTTATTTAAAACTGCCAGTGCCTCAAACTAATTTTTTCTGTCTCTCCCTGTTGCTATTTCTTCAATAGAAAGACGTCAGCTGTCTTTTATATCTTACTTAATGACCTGAAATGAACTAAATAATTTGGATACTATCAATGTTCACAAAAAATAATTTTGTAAAATGTGGATGAGTCAAATTAAAACAAGTGAACAGAATGTAATTTATTTTAGGGAAGTTTTTTAGTTAGGAGTGACATACATTTGACCATGTGAGTGCTTTGGCTTTTATTTATTGTCTTACATCAATTTAGCTTTTAGAAAGCAAAAAAATAGAGAATTCATTTGTTACTGTTAGTGCTAACTTCAGTGAGAATTTTCATACTTTCAGCATGTTCTTAAGTACTACAAGCAAGAACTATGGTTCAAGCGGTGGGTACGCTTTTTCTGTTACAGTACCAAAATAATTGAGAATTTCTATTTCTGCATTATTAATCTTTCTCAAAAAAACCCACAAACAAAACAAAACCCACAGTGTGCTGAACACTTGTGTTTAATGGACAGTCGTTAATATTTTTGCAAGAGTTAAAGCAGTTAAAATAATAGTCTCAATAAATTTATTTTTAATTAAATAAAATTTACTTCCCTAAATTCAAGCAGTGATTTCAGTTATGTACAGTGGCTTTAAACTGTTATTATTTCCTTAAACTATTACACTGAACTGCTTTTGACCAGCTACTACAGTGTTGTTTTGCTCAGGAATGGTTAAAAAACTTCTAGAGTTAAGAAATTTTAGCATTTCTTGCAATGCACATTTAAGGTTTTAATGACAGTTTAAACGTCATAATTTGTTTGTGAACATGAAGACCAAGGATTAATGACAGAACTTGAACTGTTGAACTGAGATAGCAAATTCATTATTTCACTGCTAGCTCTGAAATGATAGCATAGGAAAAAATCCTAACACTTTTTATTATTTAAAAATTTTGCAGAAGTTAGAAGTGTTCTCTGCTTGAGACTATATGTGTTTATATGAAAAAAATATGAAACTAATATGACTAGAGGCATTTCAGTGTGCTTAGCATTACTTGTTATTACAGTTAACTACTGACAAAATAAATAAAGGGCATTGCTTTATTTTTTATACTTGATGCAATTAGAGAAGAAATTCTGTCCTTCTTTTCTTCTTTTCCCCCCTAGAGAAGAAAGTTTAACCTATAAATCGAAATTACTTCTAGAATTAGATTAGATAGGATGGTTAAAGGAGTGTACATTATTTACAAAGTGGGCAGAAGGGCCACTACACCACTGGAAATCGAAGGAAGAAGCTAAACATAGAAATAGAGGCAGAGAGAAGACTAGCAACTTAGTGTGGGAGTGTTAGATAGTTATTAGAATATCTGAAAAATTATTAATTATATTTTAATAGATAAGGCAAAGCAAAAATGTATATCAGTGTATAAAAGATGATAGTCTGCCAAGGATCTATTTTTTTTCTAATTTGAAATTAAATGTATTGAACTCAATGTTTTCTGTTACTGTGTTGTATGAAATAGAATGAATTGTGTGGTGTTCAGCTGAAATTTTCTCTCTTTCATGATTTTCTAACATTTTTCAACAAATCTACAGAGGCTTAGCAGGGCTCACAGTAAGGGATTTTGCACAGATGTTGGAAAGAGCTTGAAGAGGAGGAAAATGTTTGTGACTAATCTTTCATCTATATTTAGATTCTGGCAGAAACACAGAGAGTAGTTAATAGAGGAGGGATAAGGTACAATGTTTAATAAATCAGCAAAAATAAAATGTACCAAACAAGTCAGGTAAATAGTTACTCTTCATGGCTGCTGTCATTTACTTGTATTACAATGATATGTGTGGACCAACTGACACATTGTATCAGGAGCCTCTCCTGTTCTAAGTTCAGGTGACAGGTGATGTTTAGCCCTTCATAATGGAGCTTTGCATCAGCATGATTTCTATGATGTTGTTTAATCTAGGAACCTATTGGTTAGGGTCCTGTGCTATGACTGGGTGCTTGTTATCACCAACAAACTATGAACCCTAATCAGCCATACCTTAAGAGAGAAATAGGGAGTATGTGTTGACGTAGGTGAACACTAATTAATTACAGAACTGTTGGTATATGATCTGATTTTTGAGTACAGTATTCATTACAGCATTTGTCATATTACCCAATTGTATTTCTTTCCTAGTACCTGGAGATGCTCACTTCACTAACTGTAACTCTTAAAAATATTTTTAATGGAGCTAGTCTGATTTTCCAGGTTCATAACTTTGTTTAGAAAATAATGCATTTCATTGTCCTTAAAGTAGCTATAAACAGAAATATTAGTTAATTCTACTATAAAACAACTACTGCTAACACTGATAGTGATTTTTCTCTATTTTTATTCTTTTGGAATGTATTGCTTTAGGGATGTGTGTGATTTTTCACAGGCATTATTGTTCTTTAGAAGTGTTTTCAAAAACAAAGGAGAGCTATTTCCAATACAATTCCATGAATAGGTAAGATTATTTAGACATAGTAATACAGGGACTTAAGTTCTTTGTGTATTTATTGAATATCTTTCCTATCTTTTGAAATCATAGTTGTTTATTTAAGAAGAGAGGGAGTGAGATTCACTTCTATTTCTTCCACAAGATTTTAAGTATGGTATTTTCCTGCTGAACTGGGTGAGGTTCTAGCTTCAAAATCACTTCTGGCTACAATAGGGAACATACTACTCAGAGTTTGACTGGCAGGTTTCAATTGTTTTTTGTTACGTTTTCAGGGGTTTTGTTTTTGTTTCTTTAGACAGTGTGTATGTGAAATATGAAATACTGTGGCTCCATATGAATTCCCACAAAGAAGGCCATAGGAGTTCATGCAAACAAAATAATGTGAAAATTACTTAAGACTTCACACAGGAACTGTAAAATACTTATTTTTTGTTATTTGATTTGGGAATCATAATTTGTTCACAGCATGATATTTACAGATTGGCTGCAATAGTTCATTAATTGTTTGCTATAACTGTAGGAAAATAGTCTTGCCCTGTGCTCATGTATGCAAGCGTTAATATGTGGTGAGTATGCAACAAAAACATCCCCTTGCTGTTAATTTTTAAAGCCTCCACAGGTCTGGGGTCAAAAGCACAATAAGTATAGAAGCAGCATATGAAAAATGAAATAATTGAAAAAATGAAGTTAATTTGTGTAAATGCAGTGTTCAGTGGCTAATATTAATTGGTATTGTTTAGTTTAATTCATTGGACGTGCATGGATGTATCCCAGGGTACCAGAATATTTACATGTAACTAATTGCTGAGGTGTATAGCAATGAAAAATGAGAAGGTGAGTGTACTGAGAAGCAACAAAATTATTTGTGAAAAAGCATTATTTCTTTCTATTTGTTTGGTTATGAGTACAGATGTAGCTAAGGTTCACATTTGTCTTTCTGCTCTCAAATGCATTGGAATTTTTCTTTCAAGCTATCTAAATTATGCAAGTGTGAACTATGCAAAGACAGTATAAATACTTTGTGAAGGATTTTGATTAAGTTTTTTAGGAACTGCTTCTGCTCAGAAATCATCATCAGACTCTTTCAGTCTGAAGTGTGTAGTTGTATACAGGTACATATTAAAAATGTGTGCTGAATTCCAGTCTAAGTTCCTGTTTGTTGTTGCATTTTCTTTATTTTCAGTAATTCCATCAAGCTAGTGAATCTGTGCTCTATATTTATCAGCACGTGGCTGACAGCAGCTGGGTTCATACATTTGGTAAGTGTATTTGAAAATACTTCATCGACTTTTTCTCATAGATCATCTTCTCTATGAGCTACTTTATTACCTGAAATTGCCTTGCTCTGGACAGTCCCTTAACACATCTATAGTTTACAATTAAAAAAGACATCACAGTTTCACAAGATCTAGGCTTCTACTCAAAACTAATTCTGAATAGTAAGTCATTAACCTTAGCAATAAAATATGAGACTTAGACTGATGCAACATCTTGACTGATTACAAATTTACCAGTAGGTGGCAATGTTTCCTAAATAACTACCCAGCGTGCTTCCTGGAAGGGGCTGGCAGAGCTGAAATGACACCGAGGTCCTGGGAAATAAATGGTTGTGCCAGAAGAAAGCACTTCTATATTTCCACGAGAAGTAAAAGGATTGCTAACATTCTGGTAGCAATTTTTTAGAGATTATTTCCTTCTCTTTTGTTTTCAAATTTCAAATTGTTTGATGTAGCTCTCGGTCATCGATAACATAAATTTTTGTAATAGATTTTTATTTGGCACTTAGCAGTACCTGAAGAATATAAGATAGTATAGAAGTACATACGATTTCATAAATGTAAATACGCATATATGATAGGTAGATGTCAACTGTGTCTTTTAAACATTTTCAACATTTACTCATTTGTTTGGGACATATGATTAAGTGTTTGTTCTTTAAATTTTATGATCAGCTTAGAATCAGGAAGATTTCAAGATGCTAGTAGTAAGTTATTCAGAAATGGTTTTGAACTAATATTTTAATTTAATGATAGTGTTATTACTCCAGAGCAATTTAATTGGCTTCACCTGAATTACCTTGAGCTGCATCCAGCTATATAGATCAAATTCAGAATGTTTATATTCTTGTTATACCAGATAGTAATTTAATTTTCACTTTTATAAAGATAAACTGAAATTTTGGATGTTTTCATTTATGATATACTTCTCATTCATGGATGACCACATTTTTACACTCTTCTGAGGTAATATAACATTTTCATCATAGAAACATTACCTTTTTCTAATTTTGAACAACATAGAAAAGAATCTTTACAAAATTACGGCAGGAGGGAGGGGGGATGTATTTTTTAGGGCTTGGATATTGTGTGGGGTTTTTTTTGTTTGTTTGTGTTTTTTTTACTTTTCAGCATATATTTCTCTATTCTACTGTAGGAATCCTCAAACTTCACACTTTTTACTGTGGAACAAATTTTAGAGGGAATGCACCTTTCCCTCTGATAAATTTATAACTTTGTCACATAGAGTAACTGGCTTCTTGGAAAAGTAATAATGTATCACTGAACTTAACATGTCACTAATATGCCTTTAATAGCTACATAATGCTTTAAAACAAAACATTAAGAAGTATAATTGCATTACATGTAAGATGCACTCTGAAAAAGTTCTGAACAAATTGCTATAAAATGAATTTACCTACTTGCCATAATAAGTTATATTATTTAGTGGTGAATGGAAAAGATACTCTCCATAAATAGTATGAGCGGCAAGGCTGTGTGTACTGGCAAAATGCTATAATTGGGACAAGGTTGGGTTCTGTAGTTTTCAAAATAAATCACAGAGAAGGATCCAGAGTTTATATTATGTGCCAAATTATATACATACACACACAGATATATCAATAGGGCACAACTCTATTAATTCATTATATGTTTTCTTGTATATTTTAGGTGGAGAACTCAGGGGATCCATGGGAAAATTTCCAAAATAATCAACCCCTAACATATTGGGAATGTGTTTATTTACTGATGGTTACAATGTCCACTGTTGGCTATGGAGATGTTTATGCAAAAACAACCCTTGGTCGCCTTTTTATGGTCTTTTTCATCCTTGGGGGATTGGTAAAAACTATATTATTATTATTATTATTATTATTATTATTATTATTATTATTATTATTATTATTATTATTATTATTATTATTATTATTATTGCTGCCTTAATACTTGATCCTGTATATCTCAATGCTGTAATTAAAGAAATAACAATAGCTGGTTTACTGACTTAAAATTGATTATAAAACTTTAAAATGTTTTAATACATGCCATTTTTTTCTACAGATAAATATTTTGGCAAAGCTTATCAAGTTAGTTTAGTAGTCAGAATTTTTCTAATCTATTTAAATGAGTAATCCATGTGAATACATGGAGTGCCTTAATATTTCAACTTTAAATGTTATTTATAGTCCTTTACTTACTAGTGACTGACTGTAGTGCATTTTTTTGAGGCTACTATTGATACTTAAAGGCACTTTGCGGTTTCAGAAGTACTACCCACCCTTCTGTGTTCCTTCCCAGAATTCCAACAAACACTGTGGCTTTGGACTGCCTTAAAGAGCAGCTTGCCTAATCCAGATGATGGCAAACTACATTCTCTTTAATTTCAAACATCCTTTCATGTCATGTAGCACAGTTTTAACTCACAATTTATCACATGGCCATAGCCAGTATCCTTTTATATCAGCAAATTCTCATGTTCTTTGTCCTGTATGTACATAGCACTAAAGTTACTAATCGTTTCATGTCCACTTTTCTATTATTTATCTGTGTTAGTGATATTATAGGACCTGTTGCAATGTTATTCTCTAACCCACCAAGGTTTATTTTAATAGTTGCACTGTGCGAGGTAAGTGCTTTATGGATAGCTCACAATATATTGTGTGCAAACATACATATGTATTGTTACTTTACTCTCATATATTGATTTCACATATACATACATCTTACAGAGGTGGTATGTATATAACTGGTGTTATCAATGTCATATGAGACACACATAGATACATATATATGAGTATATATATGACCATAAATATATGCATTCCCATCTGTATTTTTGACATACAAAGGCAAAGACCATGTCAGCTGGCAGTAGCTCTTCGAAGTATCCAGCCACAAGGAAGATGTTTGTTGGACAAAACATGGCAGAACAATTTTTATTTTCTCCTCAAAACCTTTATTCTATCACATTAATCCAGTTTTTTAATCCTTTAAAAAACAAACTTTTCGAAAAGTTTTTTTTGGGGGGGGTGGTGGTGTGAATTTTTGGTTCTTGACAGAGGAATAACCCCTGATTCCATCTTGGTTTTATCTTTTTTTGAATCCTAATAATGGGGTCTCTTTTAAAGTAGAAATCTCTTTTAAAGTAGAAATGTAACAGTAATGATAATACTTGGTTTTGGTTTTTGCAGTAGAGGTTGTATAGGTCTTTTTCCCTCCTCTCTTCAGGAAGAATTAGACATAAAACTGTATTTTATTAGATACCAGATTGAATTAATTTTGTTCTTGTTTTGTTGTGAAAAATATGCCTATTTTTCCTCTTTTGATAATTTTCTTAATTTATAAGGTGTGCACCTTCTCCAAGACCAAATTTTACATTGACCCCTCTTGTTTTCTTTGAGAAGAACTTTTACATTTTTAAAATTTTCTTTTTAAATAACTTCATAGATCTAATTCTTTTGCATTTTCAGATCTTAAAAACACATATCTTCTAAAAATATTCATCATTCCCCCTTCTTTGGCCTCTCTTTTTAGTCTTTTCTTCTGTCTCCTATCTTCTTCTTAGGCCATGTTTGCCAGCTACGTCCCTGAAATCATAGAGTTAATAGGAAACCGCAAGAAATATGGTGGTTCCTATAGTGCGGTTAGTGGAAGAAAGTAAGTATCCCAAGAGGCTCTGCTGCCTCTGCTGCAGTAGAACACTCTCTGCATGCCATTTTCTTTTTTTTTTTTTTTTTTTTTTTTTTTTTTTTTTTTTTTTTTTTTTTGTGTTTTTGTTTCATGCATGTAGGCAATGTTTGCTCGCTACGTGCCAGAAATTGCTGCTCTCATCCTTAATCGGAAGAAATACGGCGGGACTTTTAACTCAACCCGAGGCAGAAAGTAAGTCAAAAAAGACCAGGTGTGGTTGTGTGACTTTAAAGAGCCACTGAAGGTGGTAACAGCTGACTCACAGTTTATAAGGCTGTGTTCTTTGACATCAGATGTTACCACTGAAGAGTTGTCACACTATAATTAGAGACCTGGGCTATGCTATGGTACAAGTCACAACATTTTTTTCCTACTTAAAGAGAACCGGCATACCACTAAGACTACACTGACATATCTTGTAAAAAAAAATACGGCTATTGTATATGCGGTTAGCTTCTAGAACAAGGTTGATTTGACAGTTCAGAGTTTGGGGCATCAGATTATCATGTGGTCATCTTTTAAATAAGTGGCAACGACAATTCACGTGATTTTCAAACAACTCTGTTCTTTAGAAAATGGGTTTACTGGAGTGCCAAACATGAGATTTATGTTGATTAGGTTATTCCATTAGACTATGTCATAAGTCTGAAGGTGATGATTCTCATTTTTAAGACAGCAGATTCGGATCTCATGCAGCTCCTTCTGACTTTATATGAATGTCACAAACACTCATGATTTTAGGATCTATGACTAGAGATTGATTTTAAAGTGATTCTCTTCGACACAGTGTATAGAACCTACCCAAAGAGCAGGAAGTAGTAGGCTCTAGTAACAATAAAGTATGGAAAAAAACAAGTCCATAAAAAAATACTATTTTTTAGGTTATCTGTTAGCAAATTTTATTAGACCACATTAGCTCATTACATTTCTATTGAAAGCCTGCTTGTTTTCTTGACCATGTTAAAACCAGCTTTTTCTGGCATCCCAGCATCTAGACCTGCTGGGATATAGCCTTTAATGCACTAAATGTACTTGGTGATATAGTAGTTTCTTCTCTATATCACCTTCAGTGTTGACATCTTTTGTTTCATTACATATCATTGTGACATTCACTGGTAGGAATATATTTGCCCTAAAAGCCTAGTCTTATGGAATCCCTTCCATATAATATAAAGAAGGGACTGCAAGCAATGCATGTAATTAATTGTCCCTCTCCTTACTTTAAGAAAATACATTTTTTTCTTTATTCCTTTCAAATCATCCACATACATTATTTTGTAAATGTGGGTTATGATTTTATTAATTTGTTTCTCCTCTCTGTAGAGTAGGAAGACTGTAAATATCCCAGAGAGCTGATTCTGGAGTACTGTTTTACATCACTGGGTAGAGAATTTTTTTTTTTTTTTATTTCTTTAGTTACAGCTTATACTATTGTAAGTTCAATAATATTCAAGCAGTTAGGTGACAGGATTGAAGACTTCAATAATTTTTTTGAGATAACCTCAAATGTCCAAAGTTGGGTTTTTTACTGTAACCATTAATGTTGAAAACTTGCATAATTCAATAAATGCCTTAATTTATTGGCATTAATTAAACAAAATATCTTAATTTATTTCTCTATCTGGAGTAGTATCATTAATGTCCCAGGATGTTTCTTTGTGACAGAGGCCTACTAAGTTTCATATTTGTATTTAAGCTTGGTTTCTCAGAGAGAAGGTTTTCAAACAAAGAATTTACAGCTCTGTTTTTGAGGCTCCAAGAGAGTTATAAGAGAAGGGAATATGATTAAAAACTATTTTACATACAGACGTTGTCTTCCCCTTCTACACTGTCACTAGTACCCAGCATTGCTCAGATGTCTCTGAACTTGTACCTGATCTTCAGCCAGAACCCCACATCCTGAAAAGCTCACCTCCAGATTACAGGCTTCTGCTAGCTTTGGGGCATGCTTAATTTTATTTTTTCACCTTTTATTTTGACTTTATTTGTATGCACTATCTGTTTGTCTTTAGCTCCCTCTGTTGTCAGTGCTTTCTCTGCTGATCTCTACTGCCCATGTAACTTGTCATTTGAAACTCAGCTCTGTCATCAGCATACAAAGTGTTTGATTTACTTTATGCATTGTTTTCTGGTTCAATTATTAATTACTAAGTAGTTTAAAGATGTCCTTTGCTCATGTGGGTCTTTCATCAGAAAATGTAAGCTTGGGAACTGCACAGTAAAAAGCCATTAGCACCCCTTGTTTGATGTTGCTTTTGCAGTCAGTAGAACAAGATTGATGAAATGTTATGTTTGGCCAAAATTTAAGTTTTCATTTGGAATTCAGTGTTGAGAGAATGGATTGTCAGAACCAATGAGTTTTCCTTTGCTTGGGATATGGGCATGTGGTAGTAATTAGCAATATAAGGTCTTTAGTTGAGCAACCAAGCATAGATTCTGGCAGCAAAGATAATGAGAAACTACAGTTGTTCTATTCCTAACGTCAGAAAGTTTCCAGATAAAATTAAATATATGTACAAAATGAAAGCAGCCATATTTTTTTGAAAGAGGTAGTTTCAGATCTTAAAATAGCAAATGTGTATACTTTCCTTCAAAATAGATAAATACATGGACTCCATGTTGTTGCATTTATATATGTGTTTATACATGTTGTCTCACGAACTATGTCTGTGGAATAACATGCTTCTATATGATTATGAAATAATTAGGTGGCAAATTAACATATGACTATGTATGTTTTGAAGATTTCACTACATCACTTCAATACTAAGGAGAGCCTTGCTATAGAATTGTAACTGTTGAAGAATCTAGAATATATGCATAAAAATTATTTCTACAAATGCCACTTACTAAAGAAGATAAGCAACCAACACACCAGCAAGTTTGATCTCACATTTAATTTCGCCTTTCAGCCAGTAAAGTCCCCAAAGGACTCAAATTATATATATAGGAATCATTTTGCAGGAATAAGGAATCTTACTTCTCTCTTAGGTGAAATGCATACATACAGAGTTTGAAAACAGAAGTAGTTTGTAGGCAGTATGCAGTTATCATTGGTTAAATTTACTAGATACTAGGTAGTTTTGTTACAAAAGTCCACAGGGAATCTCAAACTTAATTTATAGTCTCTGCTTTGTAATATAGTTCTGTAATGAGACTTGTAAGGTCTCCTAGAACACAAAGCAGGAATTCTATTATCATCTTTGATTGAAGTTTCATCTGTTAAATAGACAACAGTGCACACTGTTGCATAGATACCAAAATGCATCCCAATATATCTATACAAAATGTGACCAAGACCAAACATACACATTTCATGACGAGTAGGGTAATGATGTTAGCACAATTACAGAATCACAGAATCATCTAGGTTGGAAAAGACAATGAAGACCATCCAGTCCAACCATTAACCTAACACTGACCATTCCCAACTACACCATATCCCTCAGTGTTATGTCAACCCCACTCTTAAACAACTCCTGTGATGGGGACTCCACCACCTCCCTGGGCAGCCCATTCCAACACCCAACAACCTGTTCTGTAAAGGAATGCTTCCTAATATCCAGTCTAAACCTTCACTGGTGCAGGTTGAGGCCATTACCTCGTGTCCTAGTGCAAAACAAAATTAGAAGTTGCCAAAAAAAGGTAACAATCCTTGTCTTGAATTTCATATTTGTAAGCAATGAGATCTGCTCTATAGGTGCAGAGATTACTGCTAAACAGCTGTTTTCTAGTGTTTCAGATCAGCTCATCAGAAGACTTTGTAATGTTTTTATTATGTACCCTGATACACCAGAATCAGATGGGCAGCCGACAAGAAAAACTGGCCTTCTTAGTTTAGTTATACTAAAACAAACAGTTGATTCTTGCTATAGTCACCACTAAATACAAATGAGACAGAGAAGACCAGCGTGTAACTAGTTGATATTAAATAAATGTGGAGATATATATAAAAACCTAATATGTAACTGGGAAATAAAATTCAGGCATGAGAAGCAATCAGAACTGTAAAAAAAATATTTTCTAAAACTGCTAAGAGGTATCTTGGGATAACAGTGGTGTGGCTTCCAATATTTTCCACATTATGTCCTACATAGTTTCACTATTCATTCATATGAGCAATTCAGTCTCCTTCCTGTGCATTTCCCTGGATTATTTCTGTAGTACAAGATTTTAAGTTTTGGGAAGTACTTTGTGCAAAACAGTTATTGCACATCATATTCTTTACATACTAACTAATGTTCTGCTGATTTCTGTAGAATTAGGCAGCAACACAACTTACTTTCTCTGCAGAACAGTTGGTGTATTTTTATCATTAATAAACTAGTGACTACCTGGCAGAGCTTTTGTGAGATTTAACTGAGTCGAATTTGTACTTTCTGAAGATGAGAAATGCTTTAGAAACGCAGACAAATTTGTAATGAAGATTGGCTCATTAATTTCTTCATCACTAAGCATTATGTTATCACACTGAAAACCATCTGCAACATTATATAGGACATTTCTCACAAAAATGTTGTGAAACTTACTAGACCACAAAGAAATAACGAACAAAAGCATATACTTGAAAGAAATTATATTCAGATAATTTCATAAAGAAAATTAGTGACAAACTAGTATTCTTATGAACATATGAAGTAGTTTGTAATAACAAAATACTGGATGCAAATGCTAGAGATAAAAGCTAGGTGTAACTGAAGATAAAAGCTAGATGGGTGGAGAAGGAAAGAATATGACCTTTAATTACAGTCTTATAAAAATTCTGCAGATTAGAAAAAACCCATAATTTTATATATATAAGCAGGGGAATTTTTATGCTTTTTTGTTTGTTTGACATTTTATCATCATTTACAAACTAAAATGGCATATAACTTGAGTGTTAAAGATATTTCCACTTAGCCATCTTTCTCAATAATTTTGAAACCAGCACCTGGTTTCCTACACCCTATCAATATTTAATGATTTTT